CGATAGCTTGTTGTAGGGTTCGAGAGAGATATCATATCTCAGATATGAACTAAGTGGTGATTCTAGTGCTCAGATGAGGTATCACCACCAAGAAGGACTCTTGTATAAGTGGTTTGAGGCGAACCACAGTGGTTCGCCCCATATCGTTTGACAAAGTAGTGAGGTCGGAGTGACAATGAGGAGCGCTAACAGCTGGAGCAGCCACCAACTACGACCAGCCGCGTCGATCAGCTATGAATTAAATATAACACGCAAGTACAAATGACTGCGCAAGATCCCACTATAAGCTATTATAGACGCGTACGTGCTTCTCATTGAACGATTCCATTGGAGTCGGGTTGGGTGGCTGTCGTCAGTGTCGGTATGAGAGTCGAAACCCGTGAGTGCGTCCGCTAGTAATTTCGGATGAAGTCCTCCCAGAGCGGTGAATCACGGCAGCCGTATCCTGATGGTGGCTCCGAAGTTTTGGTGTACTTCCGGCTATTGTGGGAGGAAATGTCTAAGCTCCATCATATACGTGGCTGTCGATGACGGCATCACTATCTTAGATGTCGAGCCTTGGACACAGGGGTCTGTGTGACTCGTCAGACACTGTGTATCGAAATACCAAGTGTTCTCTATGGCAGATAGCATTGTGTCCAATCACTGCCGGGTTCTGAATATTCATCGTGTGGGGAAGAACGTGGAGAAAGTGGTGACGAGAAGGACAGACTCCCTCGTCTCCACGCGGTCTCATGGCCACCTGGCATGGTATTGCCTGTGTATGCACCGTTCTATTGGGATAATCCCAATGGGATTGCTCGGCAGAGGATACGAGAAAGTCACCAGAGCAACCATCAGCGCTAGTGTATCGCTGATTCCGTCTACGCCTCTTTAGGACTCCTCGGAGGCGCGTGAGTTACGGAGACAAATATCCTGGACACCAAATCGGATTTTCTAATTCTACCAAGCTGGAAATCGGTAGGTATGCTTACGAGGTTCATCGTGATTCATAACATGCTTCGTTCATGTTATCGACTAACCACGATATCTATTTGCTTCGTTCGGCGCACAATATCAGCTTCATATGGATCTCGTTATTGACGTACTAAACTTTTGTCATTTTCGGCATTCTATGGCATCTTTCCCTTTTTCTTTTCTATTTTTCCAAAATCCAGGAAAATTTTATATATTTTCTATGAATTCTATCAAATTTATATTTGACTTTGACTTGAGGCTATCTCTCCATTGGAGAGTCTCCAACGCTGAGCTATGACCGTGAATTGGTTAACCCGGAACGGCATGTGGTGAGCTTTAGATAGATCGATATTTCTGGTGAGTAAATTACGGTTTTGAACTGACATGCAGAGGATTGGAGGTTCGATTAACGGTGGTAATATATACATCTCTGGAATGTAATCTTTTGTAAGTGTACCATTATTGCGTGCTTTCGAGCATGCATTAGCGCGTGAAATGACTACGCTTTGCACGCGTGGTAATCGAGTGTACTCTCTTGCGCCGCAAGGGTATCCGCCCCGTGATGGGCTCCCGTCGGATTAGGCATCAAATAGCGGCCAATGGCCGTCATAGAGGACCCCTTCGGTGCGAGCCGGCATCAGTAGTACTTGTCCAGTGCCTCGGTGGTGCACTACAGCAGTGCTGTAACAGCACCGTCATAACGGCCAAGACGGAACTGGTGTTGACGGAGCGCCAGAGCAACAATTTTGGATTGAGTTGAGATTCGATTCAATCGTTGCATCTCTAATATATCAGTGGACTTAGTAGTCACTCCCTATAGCATAAGGATCGTATTACTCATCAGCATTGCTGACTTAGCACTCACCCGATTATGTCCAGCAGAATGTTTTGTGAACCTTGATCTGTGAACCGGTGAAGCAGAGAGTTGCGAAGTCTGCTCTCGAGGATATGTACTTCCGTCAATCCAATTCTACTCCCGAACGCGAATACGCACCAAGTTACGGAGTACTGTATCATATGAGTATAACATTCACATCACAGCTCCGTCAGCTGCTCTCAGTATTTTACAGAGAGAATGCGGACGGATCAAACCCATCACTGATAAGATACTGTAGTACAACGTAACGTCGTAATGACTACTGACTCCGAAAGGTGATGTCGCCGTTCTAAGTACTCTTCACCGAAGCGAGATACAAAACCAAATGGGTTTGAAGAGATACGAAAAACGTTGTTCACCCACCTGGGTAGGCTGTTCGTAGACTGAGCCACCGAACCAATATATCAGTCGTTCTCGCTGAGAGGTTATATGTCCTCTCAATAAGCGAGTAGATGAGATAGAAAAAAGGAGTCAGAGTCGTCAGCCGAGTCGAAGAAAGAATAAGAGCGTAACCACGAACGAGAATGCATCGGGGAGTGTAAACACCTGAGATCCGTTTCTGATATAAGAGCTGGGAGTCCCAGCCTGGGACCATGGCTGATCATACAGAACAAGGCGGTGGGTTCCGCGAAAGTAGAGGACATATGACATGTGTAGCCACATCAGGACCATGTGCCATCTGGTAAGTAATGTGTAGTTGAGATAGTGCAAGTGAACCTTAAGCGGATGATCTGATGAAGACGATATGTTGGCCTTGGAATCGAGTAGCTATCATAGGCCCAAAGAATCGGAAGAATCTCAGTTCGGTCAGATCGCCCTCTACAATCTTCGCTTCCGGGAAGAGAAAGAGGATATTCCGGTACCAGAAATCGACTCCCTCGAATGTGCCCTCGAAATCGACGGTAAAAAATCCACTGCTGCCCTTTAGGGGGTAGACCGGCGGGTCCCTGAAGGGTGCATGGCCCGGGACATGGAACTCGAGCCCGACTCCTGAATCGGCGACTACGTAGGTCAATTCGTAGCCCTCCGCTCTGTAGACGTATCTACCGGCAGGCTGAGCCACAGCTACCAGAACATGGCAGGTCATCAACAAGGTCAGTAGGAGTGTCACCATTATTGAAAGGGAGTAGAGTCTGAGAACTCAGTGAATCTGTCAAACAACACAGACCGATAATGATGTTAGTAACATCATGATACACTACTGCTCGATCGAGATACATGTCTGAATTCGGTGATTCGAACTAATAAAAGCCCCCAATGGCACTATTGGAGGAATCGGATCCGTTGCCGGCCATATACG